GACTATGGCATCAAGATATGAGAAAGACTCTCCAACAATTTGCATTATGCAGAAGATAGAACCTTGCTCATTGAGAGTGAGGAGAACTTAAAATGCTTGCTGAAGAAGATCAAAGACTACAACTTTATTCATGAATGACATTTAAACAAGAAGAAAAAATCCTCACTATTGGGTCCATAGACAACATCATAGTAAGTAGAGAAAAGATTGAAACGGACCGATTTCCTTTCCCTTGGATCTACAATCAACACTATTGGTGCTCAAGTAAAGAGGTGTATGCTTTGGGAAAATCCACCGTCAAGGACATTTCCAAATTGTGCAAGAGCACTGACAACAGAGTGAGGTGCACCTGACCCAATGTGTGGGCTTTGCAGTCTCTTGTTATGCAGCTGAAAGTTGGCTGACTAAGGCTGAAAGATGAAGAAACAATGCCTTCGAGTTGTGGTGCTGACTGCCAAAAGAGCAAGACAAGTCTGTCTTGGAAGGAGTAAAACCAGGGTAGCCCTTGGGGACAAGAATGGTGACACTTCACCTCACACACTTTGGGCACAGTGTTCGTAGGCACAGTCCTTGGGGAAGGACATTATTCTTGAGAAGGTGGCAGGTCAGTACAAGAGAGGAAGACCGTCAACAAAATGGATTGATGTAAAAACTGTAGCAATGGGGTCAAGCAGATCTGCAATGGTGAGGACAGGCAGGGTAGTCAGATCCATTGTTCATGTGGTCGCTTTGGCCGTGGTAGACTTGCCAGCACACAACTACAGGCACCGCTGTACACAAGATATGTACTCAGCCCCCAGAACAGGGCTTCCCACCCCAGAAACATGCTCATTAGCAGGGCCACTGCCGTGTACAGACAATGGCCCACACAGTTCAGATCACGCAAATCTTGTTCATGCGGAGGACCCACAGCCCCATGTGAACTAAGTGTCACACAACGTGGAAAGCCGGATATCAAATTTAATATTAATAATAATAAACCAAATGCTTTATCAGGATATAAGGGACGCGTAATACAAGCTGGCCACAGTTTGTTATGATCCACACAGTCAAATGCTTTCGCATATTCAATGAAACACAGATAGACATTCCTCTGGTACTCCCTGCTTTCAGCTAAGATCCATCTAACATCAGCTAC